AGAACAGAATATTAAAAGCTGTAAGAGACAAGAAACAGACCACTTACAAGGGAACACCCATCAGAATTACAGCAGACTTCTTGACACAAACCATCAAATCACGAAGAGTGTGGGGGGAAATAATTCAAGCTTTGAAAGATAATAATCTCCAGCCAAGATTGAGATATCCTGCACAACTGTCCCTGGAAATTGATGGAAAAACAAGGTGCTCCCAGGATAAAGAGGAACTGGGGGAATTTGCAACCACCAATTCAACCCTACAGAAAGTATTGCAGGATATTTTAAAAAAAGAAAAATACAAAGAACCCAGAAATAGTGGCGGGGAGGCCACAATGAATGGAGCAGAGAACAAAATGAAGAAGACAAACTGACAGCTACTGACAGAAAAAGAGCTCAACAGAAATGAGACAGAGAAGATTGGATGATAGGAACAGCTATTTTGGAGAAAATGACATCTTAATAGGTAATACTGATTTAGTATCATCTTGCTTTGAAGTCTCATCTAGCTTTTGTTCTTCTGTCTCCAATGGTCTAAATAGGTTGTATCTTATTGGATTTTATTATGTACAATAGTATGAGCAAAAACCTTTTAAAGACAAGGAGATTATACAGAAACCATTGTTCATTTTCTGTTAGTCGATTCTAAATACTCTGTAATGCTGTCATTGTCTTAAATGGTTTTACATTGTTTTGATATACTTAATGCTACAGTATATGAAGTTGTACTCAAGGACTTCAAGGAAAGAGTCAATATGGTAACTACTTTTGGGTCGGAATTATCTGGTGGTGAAACACTATTCTGCTTAAATGGTTATGTTTTGATCTGCACTGTTTCACTGTTATGCCCTCTTTTATCTCAATCTCCACTCCATTATTTACTTTTTTATTTTTATCTGTTTAATTAAAGGGAAAAAATAGCAGGATATAATATAGTAACCCACTTTGACTTTCTATTATCTCGATTTGAAGCCCTGTATTACTCTCACCATCTTGTTTTTGACTGATGTTCCCCTATTCTGTTTTGCTGGATAGTATCAGGTTCGAAAGTTTAGGCATCAGCTGTGAAGATAATGAGATTCATTATAACGCCCATTCCCGTTGACTTTTATCTACTTTTGAAGATCTACAATGTCTCCAATGTTTTGGTTTTGTTCTTTACTGATTTGTTCAATTGTATTATAACTAATGATATAGGGAATTCTATTAGAGATAGCGGGAGGCATTATGGTAAACATTGTTGATCACCTTGTATTATGTTTTTATATTATCTATTATGTCCACCCTTTTGACTTGACCGATTCTGTTCTGTTATGTCACATTTGGCTTTACTCTCTTCCAAAAAAGCAGTAAGAACCGTGGGAGCAATGAAACCCAAAATGTGTAATAGTCATTGTACAAAAGAGAGGAAAAGAAAGTGCTCTAAACTATATAACTGCATGTATATTTAAGTGTATAAGATAGAAAATGATATCACAGAGTTTTATTGGATCATTGAACAGAAATGTTTGCAGTATCATTGTTGGAATGTCCACTCTACAAGCTTTAATTTTGTGACTTGAACAATTATTTCTAAGATGAAAATATGTAATCCATTAACTAGTGATTTCCTACTGTTCGTTTTTTTCTTCTGTAAATCTGTATAACTTGTACCCTTTCACTGTTTTTTTTTTTCTTTTCTCCTTAAAAAAAAAAAAAAAAAAGACTGCAGTGCTGCAGTGCCCTCGTTGGCCCACTGTGTCACCCTCTAAAAATTCTGGAGGTGCAGGCCAATGAAGAGTTTCCCCATTAAGCCTCATCCAACTCTGGGTCTGCACCAGGAGCTGGCCACGCAGAAGGTGGTTTCTCCTTTTCATTTTTCTCCCTTGTCCTGCTCTAAAACAGGAACTTTGGTAGTGCTAGTACTTTGGAAGTGCTGGCCCTCTGAGCATGTAGGCACAATTTCAGTAACAGACCTGAAAGAGATTTTACCAGGCCCCTAGATGAAAAGGCCCCAGGAAAAACAGTTTATCCTCTGCCAGGATCTCAATTGTCTCCGTTTGCCCCAATTATATTGAGCAATTTCTTGTAACATTCTTGTCAGTTTGCAGGTACTGATTTGAGCTCTGGCCTGCTTTAGCAACGTACATAATAACTGTGCATATCTTTGTCCTTTTACTAACAAATTCTGCTCCATCATCACAGCTAACTAAAATCTTTCCATGGAACCACGTTCTTGCTTTTCTTTCACTCAGGACTCTTTGTTCTGCAGCATCCTCTCACCATCTCGTGCCCTCTTCTTTCCATTTGGGTGCCTCTTATAGGCCTAATCAGGAGAATGTCCCTGTTGGGACATTGGGGTCCCAGTTGCCAGTGACTTGGCCAAGATCTCCAACTGCCTCTTTGCTGGATATTTTGAAATAAAAGATAGACAATTTGGTAATATGTAAAGGGGGCTGGGAGGTCAGTGCTTTAAGGTAAGCAAAACAAGGCTGGCCCTCTGTTTATTGAGCATGTAGGCACAATTTCATAGGGGTAGTGTATTTTTCCTGTAAGAAGGTGGTGATGATTGTAAAAAATTTAAAAAAGCATTCCTGCAAGGATGAGGCAAAGGTCAGTAAAGAAACTATTTTTTACCAGAGGAAACTTTTACTATTGCTACTGCATTGCTTTAAAGATCCTTGTCATTCTCAGCAGCTCCTATCTTGCCCTATGAGTGCCATGAGTGCCACTAGCCATAGAGCTTCAGCTAAGACTAAGTGGGGAGTTTTCACATTGCAGTCCAGCTTATGGGGCAGGAAAAAAACAGCCTGGGACATTCTCTACACTAGGTTTATAATTCATGGTTCCCAACATGAGAAGAGAGGTCACCACTTCATAGTACCATGACTCGGGTCTGGCTGCTTTCTTCCTACACAGCATTAGCTGCTTCATTCTCTGTTCATTGTCCCTGCAAAAGGATAAATGTGACTCTCAGAGGCACAGCCAATAAGGAAGGACACCTATCAGGAGTCATGGGTAAGTTTTCATAGCAGAAACGGGGGTCGTTCAGGACTAAAGAGAGACTGAAGAAGAAAACTGGAAAAACAGTGAGGCATATGGTGATTTAGTAGAAAGCGATGGGCTCCTAGACACAATACCAACCTCTAGTGGTTCCTGAGGTAATTTAGTGTAGACCACAGTAACTTTGATAACAGGTATACAATTTAAGCAGTAGGGTTGGGGGTAAGTGTAGACTGCTTGCCTAGCACACATGAGGCCAAGTTCAAATGCCAACACAGAAAATAATCATAATATTCCAAGTAATAAGGAAATCTCATTATAGTTCTTAAGGACCATGGTTCTGAAATCAATGTGCTACTCAGGCTACCATATAACAAAATAAACTAAGCTTTCAGGATTAATTGAAATGTGCCTAGGAGATTTCCAATCTTGAAATAAACAACAGGCTAAATTGTAAGAATACAAAAATCCATGACAGAAAGTCTATCCAAATGGAATTGTGAGAAATTTCTCCCAAGAGCGAGAGCATAAGAAGTGCTTGATGAAGACATTACGTCTTTGAAGAAAACATCCAAGATCTGCTGATTGTGATTAGATGACCCAATCTTTCTCTCCCACCCCTCCTTAGCCTCCTCTCCCTCTCTGAGTACTGGGGGGTGAACCCAGAGCCCAGCTCTACTGATGAACTATGTCAGCATTCCATTTATTTGTTTATTCCATTTTTATTTTAAATTGAAAGTTTCTACAAAATCAGAATCATTTTTGGACCAAAATGGAGGGCTATCAATAGACAGTCTTCTGCATGTTTAAAACACTAACAGCTATCTCAACACACTGAAGATTCACTCTCTGCAGCTTGGGGTACTTGAGGAAGTTCAGAGGCAACCAAGTCCTCATTTACTGAATTCTGCAAAATCAATGACTGGTGTTTAAAAACAGCCCTGGCCAACTTGGCATGGTGGCACACATCTGAAAACAAACCAAACTATTGTGTTTTCAAAGTTTCTTAGAAACCAAGGCTGGGCTTTGTTTCTGGCTTGGTTTTATATAATTTGGGGGAGGGAAAGGAGAGGGGATTGAAAGGGGAAAAATGATGAAAATAGAGCTTTCCCAAATCAGAAAGGAACCAAAAGTTGAAAGGAGCAGGGAAGAGAGATAAGGATAGGACATCATGTCAAAAAAAAAAGATGTATTAGGTATATGCAGCAACTCCCTGCAACCGTTGTAATCTGTATGTATTGAAAACATTTACTAGTAAAAAGAAGAAAACAGTCTTGTCCTGAGTTCATGGACACAGTAGGATACACTGAGTGCCTAATCAAAGCAAGCGGGATGGACTCCAAAGTCTTCATTTAGCTGCAAAATCAGTCCAGTGCAGTGTGTAGCGATCTTGTGGCATAACTGTTGTATGTCTGGCATGGACAGCACACAGCCTGACATCTTCAAAGTGGCCAACCAGGCTAGGAGGAAAGAATCTTGCACCAAGCCCTGATTGACCAGTACGAAGGGAAAAAAGATAAAAGGTTTTAATTGCGATCCCAGAAACTTCCTGGAAAACACTAATAGGTGTGCAATAGGAAAACAGATCTGTTTTGAAGTCCTTAAATTTCTTTCCCCAGATGCTGAGAGTGTACAAATCAGTGAACCTATAAAGAGTTAATGCCCTCGGCCAGTAAACACACTTTTCTCCACCTAACCAGCAGAAGGTGCTCTTGCACAGTGGCTCTTTCATTCTCTTTGCCACCAGCAGCTTTGCAGGTGGTGGGCTTTGTCAGAACCCTCTTAGGAAAAGTTCACGTACCCTTCCTCTACCTCAGCTGGCACCCAACAGATAGGCAGGCTTGTGCTAAGACAATAGAAAGGCAGCTGCAAGCACTCCACTCTCGTGTTTTCAGAACTTGTAAACCCCTCTACCTGTGATAATCTACCTTTAATGAACTTGTTTTAAACTATATACTGTTACTGTTACTGTCTGTAAAGTATTGCACTGAGAAGAAATAAAACCATGTGGACAAAAGAAGGAACAGTCATACTAAAAGATTAATTTTATTAAAACATCAGACCAATAATATACTCTGAATAAAGCAATTGCAAGCTGTTAACACCAGCGGTTAAATGCAATGATCCTCAAGAAAATGCTATTTTTAAAATTACTCATCTTTGTGGTACTGAGGATTGAACTCTGGGTCTTGTGCATGCTAGACAAATGTTCTATCACTGAGCTACACCCCTCCCAGTCTTTCAATTATACTCTATAGTATAATTGATCTTTCTTCAACTTGAAAAATGACATCATTCATTCATGATTTGCTCTATAACATTTACTGTCACTCAACATAGAAGGTGGTCATTTTTCTGTATTATTTCTTCCATACTCAGTCCCTACCAGTTTATCATTCCTAGCCCATAAACTCCCCAGGGCCTAATTTCCTGGCTTGCTATACTGCACAACCATTTGGTAGCATGTTTATTCCTATCAACCATGGTGCTCTTTTGCAGATGCAATGTACACAAATAAATGTGATGATTTGTCAGTTTTACCTTATTGTCTTTTCCAGTTGCGAATTTAGACAATATTTAAACTTCAAGGCAAACTCCTTCTCAGACATTACACAGAAATGACCCTTACCTACCAAAGCCTCTCTGTCTTACTAGTTCTTTCTCAGAGGCCACAATAAAAGGCTGGTAGGAAGACAGAGTATGAACATGTTTTAAAATTCAAGTTCAGAGTCAAAAATAGCAAAGAAACCTCAAATAACTAGGTAAAATAATTTATAACTGGAAGCTAATGAGTATTTCCAAAATCCTTGTACCTTTCATGTATTTAAGGTCATGGGTTTTCACATATTTTTAATTGGAAATATTCTGCAGAATACAATAGAGAGCTACAGACTGAACTGGTTTTGGAATAAATCCTCATCTAGAGTTATGATCATCTCTTAATAGCCTAACTACACAAGTACCGTCTATTTGTATGGTTTCATCAAAGACATATATTTTGGCATCTAGTGTAGGACTTGAATTAATGCTTGTGCTGTGTAATTTGTAAGATTTCTTTTCAGTATGAACTCTTATGTCCATTAATGTTTTAACTATTGACAAATGGCTTTTAACACTCATTGCATTTATAAAGATTCTCCTAAAAATGAAATATCTGATGTTATACAAGAAGTTGTGACCAACTACATTCACTTACAAGGTTTCTGTCCAGCATGAATTCTCTGATGGCTTGCAAGGTTGGAACTTCGACTAAAGACCTTGCCACAGTCTTTACATGTATAAGGTTTTCCTCCAGTATGAATTGCCTGATGGGTAATAAGGCTTGACCGCACACTAAAGGCTTTGCCACACTTATCACACTTGAATGGTTTCTCTCCTGTATGAGTCCTACGGTGACTTGCAAGGTGTGAGTTCTGCGTGAAAACCTTGCCACACTCGTCACATTTGTAAGGTTTCTCTCCTGTATGAACTCTCCAGTGCCTTGCAAGATTTGATGTGTGACTGAAAACTTTGCCACACTCATTACACTTGTATGGTTTCTCTCCAGTATGAACCCCTCGATGACTGGCAAGGTGTGAGTTCTGGATGAAGACCTTGCCACACTCATCACATTTGTAAGGTTTCTCTCCAGTATGGATGGTTCTCCGATGAAATGCAAGGCCTGAAGCGTGACTGAAGACCTTGCCACATTCATTGCACTTGTAAGGTTTTTCTCCTGTGTGGATAACCTGATGCTTAGTGAGGTTTGAACGCACGCTGAAGGCTTTGCCACAGTCATTACACTTGTAAGGTTTCTCCCCAGTATGAATTCTCCGGTGACTTGTAAGGTAGGAATTCTGAGTGAAGACTTTGCCACATTCATTACATTTGTAAGGCTTAGCTCCAGTATGACGTCTCTCATGTACCAAAAGGTATGAACGCCTGAAAAATGCCTTGCCACATTCAATACATTTGTATAGTTTCTCTCCCGTATGAATTCTCCGATGATGTGCTAGAGATGAGGTGTAACCAAAGACCTTGCCACACTCGTTACATTGGTAAGATTTATCTCTAACATGAGCTTTCTGTCTTGTGAGTAATGAAGAATAAATAAAGTCATTTCCATATTCCTGAGAAATATGTGCTTTGACAGAAGCAATTCTTTGTGGTGGTGAAACTGAGGAAGCATTGTTGATGGACCCGTCACCTTCATGACTGTCAGTTTTTCCTTTAGACTGAAGTGCTTGCAGTTCAGGCAGATGTGCCTGAAAGCTTAAGTCAAGCCAACTTTTCATAAGTTTATTTTCTGTGTCCCTTTTACCACCTTGACCTCTTCTACTAATGAGACTTTCCTTCTGAACCACAAGCACGCTGTTGTAATTTCTTTCAGTATCTTTCCAGTGCAACTCAAAGCCATGTCTATTGTTATGGACATCCTTGAATGAAAAGCCTTTAATGTTATTCCTTTCATGTCTTTCTAGTGTCACTCTTTTAAATATTTCTCCTGTACTGCTCTTCCCTTTTGGTGATGAACCCTTTATTACACATTTAGGAGAGATATCTACAAGATACAAAGTAACATATATTTCTAATTAATTAGACAAATTCACAGTGAAAAAGACAGCCCAAAAGTATACTCTTAATTAATGAAAGATAATTAATTACATACAATTCCAATTAATAGGAAGAAAATATGCTTTCAAACTATCATCAAAATGTTAGCCCTGAAAGTTATTTTTCTACCATGGCCCTGAAGCACACACTAACTGCAAAAAACATGGCCATCTCATAAATGAAGAGAAAAAATACATATTTATTAAGCATAAATAAATCCTAAAATACCACATGATATACTCTAACGGTAAATTATCCATAGCAAATTTATGTAACAAGTTGATGAATGGTAATCTTTAATTCCAAAGCAATAAAACAATGGCTAAAGAGGAAGAATTCAATAAAACGATATCAGAAAAAAAGCATGTTTTGGAATTTCTGTTATAAAACTACCCATACCTACACACAGCAAGAGTTTTGTAACAAGTTAGTATGAGATAATTTTTGCATTTTTCATGCTGAAAAATCATCATCTATAAATCATCATAAAAACCACAAAATATTCTAGTAAGCCATGATAAAATAACCAGGCAAATAGAGTATGTATATTTATATAAAGTTATAAACTATAATTATGAGTAATGTTCTCTTAAGAAAAAGCAAGATTTGCCAGGCATAGTGGTGCAAGCCTATAATGCCAGCACTCAGGTGGCTGAGGCAAGAGAATTGGTGTGAATTCAAGGCCAGCCTGAAATACATAGTGAGGCACTGTCTCAAAAACAAAAAGCAAGGCTTTCTAAGAAACAGTACACTAGAAATGGAATAGTTTTCTAAATGTTTCACTGAATCCCTGACATTATAAATATATACATATATACTTATAGGGAACAAATTAATGTCATGATAAATGTTTACAACATGGAAATGATGACTAAAAACTTATTACATATCTACCACCTCAAAAATTTGTTAAGTTACTCTTCTTTATTTAAAAAACGTATTTTACCAACAACTTAGTGTTACACTTATCTAGCAGCTACCATTCTTTCTGCTTCTAGGAGTCCAATTGGTTTAGACTGTTTAAGTGAGAACACAGTATTGTACTTCTCTGCCTGACTTCTTTCACTTAATAAAATGTTTATCAGGTAAACACACACTGCTGCCAACAGAGCTGCCCCCCCAGCTGTCTGTATACATGTTCTCTATCCAGTATTGGCTGATGGACATGCAAGTCAGTTACATACCTTGACTACGGTGAATAATGCTACAGAAAACATGCACTGTGGATTATTTCTTTGATCCCCTGATCTTGAATTTTTTGTATATGTGCCTAGAAGCTAGACTGCTGGATTACACAGTAATTCTATTTTTAGCTTTAAGATTTATTTGTTTTTTTTGCATGCTGGAGATCAAGCCACAGCCTGTGTGCCAGGTGAGCTCTCTGGCACACAGGCTGTGTTCTCCATTATGAATTCATTACTTTACATTTCCATCAACAGTGGACAATAGTTTTTTCTCCACATCCTGTCCACATTACCTTTTATCTTTCTGATAAAAGCTATTCTGATAAGTAGAAAATGGTAACTTATTTAGACTTAAACTTCTATTTCCATTGTTAGTGATATTGATCATCTTTTTGTATATCTGTTACTCATTTCTATCAAGAAATGTCTATTAAATTCTTTTTGTGTTAATGCTATGACTTTCCATGTTTTATACATTTTTATATATTAATGCTCCCTCAGATGCACAGGTTATAAATATTTTCTCAATGCTGTGATCTGCGGCACAGCAATATTTTCTTTTTATGCAATACATTTTCCTATTTTTGCTTCTGCTGCCTGAGCTTTACAGATCAAACCCCAAACAACTGCCCTGACCAATGGCATTAAGCAGCTCCTCTGTCTACATTGTCTTACCTGTATTCAGTCCTTTACAACATTCCCACCTACTTGAGTTTCTTGCTATTTTCATTTCATTCTCCACAGTCCAGGGCTCTTTCCCTTGCTCCAATATAGAAATAACACTCACGTTAGGAAGAAAGATTCCTGTTATAAAAAGAAAGGAAAACAGCATTCTGTGGCTTTTTAAGAATCCAGTGCTATGTTCATATGAAGACAGAAAATATTCTAGATGGATCTACAAACACTGCACAAAATCACACACTGGTTTATTCCTTTAGGCTTGGGAAATGCTTTAACATGCAGACATCCAGTTATTTCCCAAGAACTACTCAATCAAATGAACAGGGAAAGAAGAAAAAAGAACTGGATATTTTAAGTCTGCTGTAAGAGCTGAGGATGTGACTCAGTGTTAATGCACTGGCCTAGCATATGCAAGCCCAAGTTTGAGCCCCAGCACTGTTGAGAAAGGAAAATAATATCAGCCATAAGACTGGATGCATACTTAGTTCTATAGCCACCCAATGATGCATCAAAAGGAAGCAGAAAATCTAAAGAAAGGAGATGGCTGAAGTGCAGAGGATACATTGGAAAGCGTTTCAATTCTACATCAATAAAACTTCAGGTTCAGCTAGAGGTACGAACAGGGAAACTATACAGAAGGCAGACCAAATTTCGAGAGGAGCCATCCTTACCTAGGGAGACCAGGTTCCTGTAGTTCTCCAGCATCACCTCCCTATATAGAGTCCTCTGAGCAGCATCCAGGCATTTCCATTCCTCTGGGGAGAATTCTATGGCCACATCCCTGAATGTTAAGCATCCCTGCAATGAAAAATGGACGTCACTGGGGGCCACGGGGATAGTTACGATTATGACATAAAGTAAAGAACAGAGCTGTAAAGAGTTTTAATTGGAGAGAGTGAGCTAAATCCATGTTTAAATATTATGAAATACACATCTGTTCTCTGTGAATGTTTCCAGATGCATAGTTCACTTGAAATCTCTAGGTGCTTTTATATGCTAACAAGATGTCAGTTGTCAAGAGAACCCTGTGCAGTTTCAGAAAGGGACTAGTCACCAGAAAGACTACGACAGAGCCAGGTGGAGTGGGCACACACTTATAATTCCAGGATTCTGGGAGGGTAAGGAAGGATTGCAAGTTTGAATCCAGTTTGGGTAATGCAGTTATTTAACAACTATTTCAAAGATCCTATTTCAAAATAAAGTATAAAAAGTGTTGTGGATATAACTCAGTGCAAAGGCCCTGCATTGGATCCCCAGTAGAAACAGAGAGAGAGAGGGAGAGAGGGAGAGAGGGAGAGAGGGAGAGAGGGAGAGAGGGAGAGAGGGAGAGAGGGAGAGAGGGAGAGAGAGAGAGAGAGGGGGAGAGAGGGAGAGAGGGAGAGAGAGAGAGAGAGAGAGAGAGAGAGAGAGAGAGAGAGAGAGAGGAAGAGGAAAAAATATATACAAATAATCATACAGATAAATTTATCTCTATAGCACTGTTAGATGTAATGTTTAACCTACTAAGTAATACCACATTCAATAGCATGTGTGGTGACTTTAAAGATGAGGGCCCATAGGGGACTTTTTAAAAAATCAGAATCTTAAAACCATGATGATAGCAACAGAATAGCTAAAGCTTGGGAACACTTCCAAGTACTGAGCATTTCGCCTGCTCTATACTAGCTGCTGCAGTGACATGACATCTAAGAGAGAAAGACAGGTACAGGTCCACACCTGAGAACGAGCTGTTACAGACACCAAGTGGTTTCTGCTCAGGTAAAGGAACTCAAATTGGGAGAGGAAGTACCTGCCCCCAGGTGTCTGAGACCGAAACTGAACCTTAAGAATCAGTGAGGCAACAGCACATCCGAAGAAAATAAACCACAGATGACTTAAGGGAGGAAAGCGTAGGAAGTTCAAGAACAATACAGAGCTTCTCACAAGGTCATTATACAGCCACACATGCACACATCGGATATGCGGTATTTTTAATATAGTATTAACATATTAACATGACAGTGCACAGCAATTTAAGGCTGCAGAACATTTTAACAGAAAATTTAATTGCAGATACAATTTTAACTAAAAAAAACATACAAACTGTTCTTTATTTAAAAAAAAAAAAAAAAAAAACATGGGCCAGGGATACAGCTCAGCAGCACAGCCTGGCAAACACAAGGTCCTAAATTCAATTTCTGGTACCAAAAAAAAAACAAAACAAAATATCACATGCTGGTGTGGCACCATGGCACATATCATAATCCTGGTATCTGTCAGTGTGAGTCCAGCTTGGAGTGCATAGGAAGACCTGAACACATAACAAATGAAGACAACAAACAAAGCCTACCATGGGGGACTGCAAATTCAAGTTCAGCCTGGGGAACTGAATGACTTAGTCCTTGTTTCAAAATAAAAAATAAAAATAAAAAAAGGACTGGGAATAAAAGTTGGAGTAGAGGCCCTAGGTTCAGTCCCAGTATCACATTAAAAAATGCACAGATGATCCAGTCATGGTGGCATATGCATATAATTGCAGCACTCAAGAGGCTGAGGCAGGAGGATAGCCATGTGTTTGAGGCCAGCTTGGGCCACATAATGAATTCAAGGCCAGCTTGAACTACAAAGCAAGATACTGTCTCAGGAACAAAAATTACTGTATATGTGACATAATCACATACACACACTTAGGTGAAACAAGAGATGGTGTCTCTCAATGATATAATTTTCATCACCAATTTTTCATACTTGCAAAAGCAGAGCAGTTACCTTCATTGTGAGCAGCTGGTACAGGTACATGACACATTTAAATTTCTGTGTGTCCCCTTCCCCTCCACTCTCCTCCCACCCTCTTGTACTGTATCTATAAAATCTCATGCAGTCATAGGTGGGGCTTTTTAGAGGTGTATATCTAGAGTGTGTGATGCCAGGAATATGGCTGTGATAGTGAGTATATGGTTACTAAATTACTCCACGGTTTGTTTAACACAGCTCTGGGTGTGGATAATGGGAAGGCCCACCCTGGGTGTGAGTGGCACCACCCCAAAGACCAGTAGCCTGGAAGGAGTGAAAGGCAGAGGTAGGCTTGCTGCTTGCTGCCTTCCATCTGCCCTGCCCTGCCACACCATGCACTGGTCCCCCTCTGCAATGCCCCTCTACCATGACATCCTGCCTTGGAGCCAGCCAGTTATGGACTGAAACCTCTACAAACTGTGAGCTGAAATAAACCTTTTCTCCTTAAACTTAACAAGAAAAGTAACAGAGACAATCCTTCTTTCTTCCTTTCTTTTTTTTTTTTTTTTTTTTTTTTTTTTTTGAGACAGGGTCTTGCTATGCAGTGCAGGCTGGCCTTGAGCTCACTTTGTAGCCCAGGCTAGTCTCAAACTCACAACAATCCTACCACCTCAGCCTCCTGAGTGCTGGGATTACAGGTGTGAGCCACCATGTCCAGCTCTGAGAGTGCAATTCTTAATGCAAGCCTGAAGGGTCAACTTGTGGCACCTTCTTGCCAGAATCCCTACTCTGAGAGAGGACAGCCCACTCCCAATCTCTCAAGGCAGGAAAGCACAGTATGAGAACCTCATCTAACATCATGACTCTGCAGAGAAGGAACACTGAACTGCTTGAATAGGCAAGGGCACCAGGCAGGGCAGGGCAGAGACACAAAGGCAACTGACAGAAACCAGTGTCTGCAGCAACAAGGGCACAATCTAGGCTCAAATCCACATCCTAAATTCCTGCAGCTGCAGAAAGACAGTGGGAGAGCTGAGTAGAAACTGGCAGGGGTCTTCAGTTAGAAATTACAAGCAAAATGTCAGAAAAGTCAAATCCCGGCAGAGGCCTGAGAACTCTCCAGAATCTCCAGCAGGAAGGAATGGAAAGCCTCCCTAAAGGAAGCCGAACATCCAGAACTGAGCGAGGCAGCTGATTTTCTGTCGGTTCACGGGCATGCAGCACCAAACCTGCTTGCCTGCTTGCTTTTCTTTGGTGACACTGGGGACAGAGCCCAAGGCCTTGTATGTGCTAGGCATGTCATTTACCGCTGAGCCACATTCTAGCCCTGGTTTCAAACTGCTGCAAAAAAAAAAAAAAAAAAAAAGCTAAATGAAAGAAAGAAAGAAAACAAGCTGCACAAAGAGAAAAAAAACAAATGTGATGTGATCATTCAAATCAGAAAACTAAACAGTCACAAACCAACACTAAAGAATCAGACATAGGCAAGGGATGATGGCACACATCTATAATTCCAGCAGTCAGGAAGCTGAAGATTGTGTGTTCAAGGCCAGCCTGGAAATACAGATGTATAAACCACCAAAGAACTGAAAATGAGAGATTCAATCATTCATTACTGAATGATTTAAGACAGCAAACAAATTCAACTTTAGGAAATCAGAAAAACAATGAACACAGAAACTATGAGGAAAAACTACAAAGAAATTTTAGAACCAAAAATAAAATAACTAAAATTAAACTCAAGAGAAGCTGAAAAGCAGACTTGACCAGGCAAAAGGAAAGAAAAATGGATTTGCAAAAGGAGGAGGTCAGGTGTGCACACCTATCAGCCCAGCACTGAGGAAGCTGTGGCAAGAAGATTGCCATAAGTTTGAGGCCAGCCTAAGCTACTTAGTGGTTCAAGGCCAGCCTTAACAACAGAGTGAGACCCTGTCTCAAAAAACGCAGGAAGAGTAAAGATGGCTTAGAGACTTATGGGATAACATCACATGTACCTCAAATGAAGAAGAGAAAAAGGGTGAGCAAGTGTGCTTAAACCAACGCCAGCACTTAGCCATGCACCAGTGTGTCCTTGGGCTAGAGCACAGGACATCTGGCTTCTAAAAAGGAATCTTTCTTGTGGTAATGATGAAAGACTGACTTAAAAATGAATGATGCTGGAAAGGCAGAAGATTTTTGTACAGATATGTCCTCAATGCCACACTGGAGAAAGGAAGCAACCGAAAAACTGGGCCATATCTCCAGGGTCTGTCTGAGTGGGAGACAAGTCAGGCTGTTGGATTCTTACACAGACACCAACAAGGAAAAGGCATTACCTGGGGAGAGGGCACACTGATGGCGGCCTTGGAGAATCCCAAGAAGCACATCCCTCGAACAAAAATGCTCCTCCCTGGCATTTAAGAAGAAGGAAGAAAGGGCACATTTAATAGCTTACCTCAGAAAAGCTACTAATGAGTAAGTCACTGCCTTATTTATTATGGAACAGAAATGTCTCATGGCTTTTTTATGCACACCATAATTTAACATACCTCTTTTGCCAGAATTCAGATCATTAACAGCTGATAGAATATTTTTGTTAGACATTCTTGATTTCAGTAAAATTGGCCTGCAGTTAAATGGTTATCTTTTTTTTCAAGTTTTGATAGTAATTCTAGTTCAATAAATACTGTCACATTTCTAAATATATGGTTGGCCTTGATTAGTAATGATTGGCTTTTCACAAAAATGGAGAATATCATCTCAAAACCTATCAAACAGTGGTTCTGTATTTAGATTTATATAACTGGCTGCATGAGTATGTTTAAGTAGTGGGGAATCCTGCACTGTCTCAGAATCAAGCAAGACTCCCCTGTTTCAATTTGTATTTACTGGCCTGTTAAACAGTGGCTACAGACAAGGAAGTAATGTCTATATTTTTGGTCTTAACTATGCCAATTTAATCAGAATTTCCTGAATCTAAAAAGTGCTACCTTTTACTGACTGAAACGCTTTTTAGTGTAGTGGATGTGTAATACCAAATCAAGAATATTTACCATTTCTCACATTTTATAGTTGATCTGTGAGTTCAGATCCTTTTAAAAGCATGA